CCCCCCCCTCTCTCTCTCTCTCTTCAGCTCTCGCCAAGCATGCTATCTATTTCCTGCCAGCGGCGGCGGCGGCTTGCCCCTCGCCTGCTGGCCCTGTTGCTGGCGGTCGTGCTGCTGGCCGGCTCGGTGTCGGCGAACAACGAGCGGGTCATCGCGCGGGAAATCGCCCCGCACGAGTCTTGGCACGAGTTAGATGCCCGGTGTTCACACTGGTACGAGCACAGCCGCTGGGTTTTTTTTTTCTTTTACCTTCCCCTCCGGCCCTTGGCCCGGGTGTTAACTTCTTCGCCGGCCCAGGAAAACTCTGGCCCCACAGGCGGACAACGGCCTGCTAGATGTGTTGCTCGGCCCCTACCCGCGGTCCCTTTCGTCCGGGCCCATTCGCCTTGAGCTGCCAATCACCCTCTGCCTGCGCGTGCCACGCGGGACCCTCTTCCAGCCGGAGGGGGCGGCCTTGGTGCCGGCCAATCGCCACCGGTGGCTGGCCAAGGTGTCGTGGCCTGCATCGGTGCGTCTTGCTGTTGGACCCTTTCCGGCCAATCTGCCCCTGCCCCCCCCCCCCCCACCCCCGCCTTCCAATGCCTCTTGGGCGGCGCGCTGCTGTTCCTTTTCTTTGATTGCCCTTTCTTCCGGCTCTGGCTGACTCTTCTTCCTTGGCGTGAATGCCTTTCCTGGCCGCCTCGCTAGCTTCCGGCCAAGGGAAGTATTGACTTTGTCCTGGACCGGCGGTTTGGCTCCGGATCTGACGGCTTCGTGGCATTGACCCTTTTGCCGGAGGGTGTTCTGCCTGGGCGCTTGGCCAAGTCCCTCTTCTCCCTCGGCCGGGGACATGACGTCCCGCAGGACACCCCCAACACCCTCCATAGCATTGAGACACTGGTGGAGATCGGTACGCGGTTCATCCTGCCCGATGTTTTTTTTCCCCCCCCCCCCCCCCCCCCTCGCCGGGCACTTTTCCCTGCCCATCCATCACCTTCTGCGACGGGCACTTTAAGTTGTGGAGCCTCGGCCTTGGAACTGCTGCCATTCTTCCCCCCATCTCACCTCCGGGTCCTCCCGACGCTGTCCCTTCTCCCCGTCCCCACCCTAGTGGTTTCGCCGGCTGTGAGTCGGGAAAACATCGCCGTGGGTATTCTTTCTGTGCTGATTGGCCTCGCTCTGGCGGTGGTTGTTTTTGTCCAGTCCCAACAAAGGCGCATCCATCACCTGGCAAACAAGCTGGCCGGCTTGAAGTAAGAGCCCCGCCACCTCACCCCTCTCTTTGATTCCTCGGCGCATCCCTGGCCCTCAGATGGGGCGAACTCCGAGGAGGGTTGATGTGCCGATGGCGCGAGTTTCCCATGTCATCGAGAGCGCATGCGCGTGCGCGCGTGTATGTATGTATGTGCGCGTGCACGTACGCGCGCACACGCCCCCCCCCCCCCCCTCCCTTCCGCCGCAGGCTCGCTGCCATATCCATACACACAGACATATACACGTACATGTACACGTGCACGCGCGCACGCGCACATCCCCCCCGCAAGCCCCCTGCTCGGCCCCCGGGGCGCCCTTTCTTGGACACGCCCCTGAGCATCTGCTCTGCGCCTCTCCTGGCCATCGGTATTCTATGGATGTATGAAATGAAACAAAGGGCAAAGGAGGAAGGCCAAGAGGAGGAGGAGGAGGGGCCAGCCCGGCTACGCTCAGTAGGTCTTGGAGTGTGATGCGAAGGGGAAGCAGTGATCGCACACGCGAAGGCGCGTAGATGAGCCAAACTTGGGGATGGCACAGGACCGCGATGAGCAGGAGTTGCACACAAGCCGACTACAGTGCCGGCAATGGTGCTGCAGAATGCGCGGCACGGTGGCGAGGGGAAGGGGTGGAGGGACACACACCACCGGGTCGGATGTCAGCGAAGGGAGAAGGGAACGAAGGAGGAGGACAAATGAAAAGGGCAGGAACAAAGCCCCGGCACGATTCCCCCCCCCCCCCCCCGCCCTCCCTCCCACAGGGCGGGACCACGCACCCGGCGGCGGCCGACCGAGGTGAAGCCCCGGCTGCACACCATGCAAGAAGAGGACTGGCTGTCCGGCACCCAAAGGGGAGGGCGCCAAAGTCGGCCGAGGACAATGTTCCGCAGGGCGGCATCCGCCTCGCAGATGGCCGTCCTCCCTGTGCGCGGGTGAGGGGCCAGGATGAAATCCGTGGGCGGGAGACCCGTCAGCAGCAGCGAGAAGTTGGTCAGCGAGGGGTCCACCTGCACCGAAGGCGCCTGGGCCGGGGGGGCGACGGGGGCTGGAGCTTCTCTGGGGCCATCGCCGCCCGGGGCCATCGCCGGGGCCAGGTGGACCATCAGCTGGTAAAAGTGCGACAGCGGGTCGGCGGTGGTATTGGCGTCGCCGGCGGCCGCAGCCACCAACGAGTAGGGGGTCCCATCCGGCTGACACATCATGGCCATGATGGACTCCAGGCTGAAGGTCTGCAAGCAGAGGTGCAGCGCCGTCAGGCCGGCGGCATTGCGGGCCAGTCGCAGGGAGGGATATCGCCAGCACAGGAAGGCAATGACCTCCAGCGGGGCCGAAAGGCCGGGGGCTGTCTGGTCGGCGGCTGCCACGTTGTAAGACACAACGTCCTGGGAGATGGCGTGGTGGAGGATTGAGCAGCCGTGGCTGCTCCGTAGCAAAGGCAGGATGCCGGCCTGATCGGTGGCTGGGAGTACGTGGTCGGTGGTGGGGTGCGTCAGTGACGGCCATCCAGCGCACATGGAAGGCGGCGTGCGGGAGACAGACAGAGACAGAGAGATGGATAGGAAAAGAGGGAGGAGGGCGGGGCGGGAGGAAAACGGGTGGCAAAGTCCAGCCCCCGGGGGGGGGGGGGGGGGAGGCCGAAGCGTACAGCAAATCATTTTGACTGTCGGGAGATCTGCCATTTCGATGGCCTTCCAGCAATGCGCGAGGATGTCAGTGATCGAGGCCTCGGACATGGCCCGCATGGCCGCGAGGCAGGCCTCCGTCTGGGCGAGAGTGTCGCGGAGTTGCTCCGGCGGGCAGGGGATGACGGGCGCCCGGCGAAGAAGCGCGATCTGCTCTTCGATATCCTGCGTCACACGCAGGGTATTGGCAACCGCCTTGGTTCGCTCGGCGGGACAGTCCATGGCGAAGAGCGGGGGTATGCGGGAGAAGGGGGAGCGGGGGGGGGGGGGAGACAAGGAGGGGGAGGCGGTCCGAGGTAGAGGCGGGGAGCGGAGCCCGGAGAGCAGGGAGGAAAGGGGAACCGAGGAAGGGGCGAAGGGGGCTAGCGGAGGGCCGGGCAAGGGTGGGTTGTGGGGCTATTTTTTTCAACCACCGGACCGTCTGCGGACCGAAAGGGGGGGCTCCGGCCCCGAGGAGAGGCCACCGGGGCCTGATTATGGCCCCCCCCCCTTCTCCCCCCGCGAAGGGGTTGAGAGATAAGAGGGAGGGAATGTACAAGAACCGGTGCGTGTACTGCCGCTGCACCCGCTTCGCAGAGATGGGGTGCCCCGAGCCTTGGCGAGGGGGCGAGATTCGGCCGGACCCAGATGCCGCGGGCCGCGGTAATAGCGCGGCCCCGGGGGCGGGGCGCAGGCTGGCTGGCGGAGACAACTTCGCCCGGCTTCTGGGGCCGCGACCCGGGGCTGCCCGGGGTGGGGAGGGGGGCCGATCAAACTCGCCCGGGCGTCGGCGCAAGGCAATTTCGCCCTGGGTGGGTCCGAAGTCGGGCGAGCCATAATTGTGTTCCCACATTTCAGCGACGCCGCGGGTAGAGACCAAGCTGCTGGACGGACCAGTGCCACCCCGCCTACCGATGCGGGTCCCCTGGAGGTGGTCTTGCCGTGTCTCGGGCGGCAGAGGGGTCGGGGGGCAGGGAGAAAGAACATGCGCCTGTTGGCTCGACTGCCAGCGCACTGGGTATCTGAGACGGCCCCCCCCCCCCCGCGCCGTGGCCTTTTGTGTTTGGACCCCCCGCCGCGCCGCGC